CCCCCCCCTCTCTCTCTCTCTTTTTCTCTCTCTCTCTCTTTCTCTCTCTCTCCCATCTTTCCTGTCGTATTCTAACCAATCACACAGCACGGCACCTACCAGTTTCACCACGATGCTTGGTCCGACATCAGCGGCAAGGCCAAGAACTTCATCAAACGCCTGCTGGTTAGAAACCCACAAGAGCGCATGAGCGCGGCAGAGGTATGCATGCATACGATGATAGTCTCGTTCACAGTCTCGTTTGGAAGGCCTTTGCCAGCGGACGCTGGCCTTGCGTGCTCAGCGCTCAGACTTTACCACCAATGATTTTGCCGCAGACTCCGCCGCCGTAAATGGTACCACAGACTTATGCAGCCAATCATGGCACCAGCGTTCATGGTGCACCAATAGTGCGTGCGAGGCTCGAGCTGGCCGCCAAGCGAGCAATAGAAAATTGTGTACTTTGTTGGAGAACGGTGACAACTCCGTGTGTTGGAGCCACTCCAGCCACCACCAAGACGCACGAAAGTCGTGTCCTTGTTGGAGAGGGATGACACATGACACATGACACATGACACTTCCCTTTGGGCGCCACTACCGCCACCACCTGTGATAATTCCTACCAAGTGTCTCGGGAAAAATTCCACCTCGAGGCGACAAAACCTGTAGTTGTGTCACACATCAAGGTTGGCTCTCGGAGTGTGTCTCGCGCTCCTGACACCTGGGTGAAAGACAAAGCTACTGCGGTAGGGTTGAAACAAACTCACTTTCAGGACGGTGTGGCGAGTAGCATGGTCTTCGTGAAACCGCTTTTTGCTCGTGGCAATGAATCCGCCGCCTAGTTGTTGACACCAACATCTCCCTTCATCTGCGGTAGCCTTGTTGTACATGCTTGTATTCTGTCACTTGTGAGGGAGGCAGGTAACCGACTCTCTGCGATAGAGAAGCGCTCACCTCTATCGTGTCTTGTCGTGTAGCGATTTTGATACCCTTCCTGCTGGCATGTGTGCGCCGAAACTCTGGTCCCAATGGACTCTCCTCATAGATGAGTGATGAGTTGTAGGGTAGGCCAAAGCTGAGGCATACAGCAATGCAAGTCCCTTTCAGCCCCCTCCCCCCGTTGGATTTTCGTCCCTTGGCAACGACGTTGTACATCAAGCCCCCCCCTCGGTGTTTGCCATCGGGATTGGGTTTTCGTCGCTCGGCAACGACGTTGTAAAACAAGCCACTTCACTTCATGAACTCGGCAACCAGGTTACCGTTTATTTTATTTTTTTAACTCCGGTTTTTTTTGGCGGTAACCATAATGGTTGTCGAGTAGATTATGTTGTGCGGGGTCGAGAACCCTCACTCCGCGCAAGGGGGATGATCGCACCACGTTGTGTTAAAATGGTCAAGCACCCTCGAGGCAGTTTCACAGTGATTACAACTGTCTCTGGAAGTGAAAGCACCAGAAAATAAATTAAGTCATACGCAGCTGTCATCCGTACGCAAGGAAGTAAGCACAAGATGCCGAACACCCTCAGCAGGATGCAGCGCACCCTTCATGCGACTCGCCCAATACCTCACGGTGCTTCGCGCTTGGTGATGTGAGGGCCTGGTCCGGTGAGAACCCGGCGTGCTCCGTCCCGGCTTTGTAGGGATGCGAGGTCAATGGGCTAACGACTACGGCAGGCGCGACTGTAAGTACCCCCCGCCCCTCCCTCCCAGCCTACACGCGTTTACCGTATATGACACAACACACACCCTTGACCGGTTTTCATGTGCCCGATAGAGAAAAGCCCGTGTGGTGGGCAAAAGACAAGACCGCTAGGACTATTTAGATGAGGTTCGATTGGTAACCCATTCTCCGGTAATGATCCTTCCGCAGGTTCACCTACGGAAACCTTGTTACGACTTCAATAGATCGATTTTTCAACAGCAGGAAGAATCACAACGCCGAAATCGACGGCGTTGGAACCTTCTCGTCGAGAGTTTTCGAAAATGTATCATTTCGTTCATGTATCCTCTTTGTCGTGGAGTAATTGAGCTTTGAAAATCGGTCTAGAAGGTGTTTTGTCTTGTGTCACATGCGGTATCCAAGTCCGAGCCCAAGGGAGGAAGATGTCGGAATGGAATGTATAGCGGGTTTGTCGTCTCAACCATAGGCATCAATCCGAGCGCACAACCAGGGAAAATTCTTCCCGTTCCCCTTGCTTTCTGTGCAGGCACAACATCATCCTTGGCTCAATGACCACGACCCCAGCGGGAAGGACAGCAAGCTGTCGAAGGCCGCCGTTCATAACCTCGTCAACTTTCGACAGACGAACGCCCTCAAGAAGCTAGCGCTGGAGCTGGTCGCGAGGTCTTTGGACGTCGAACAAATCAGAAAACTGGAAAAAGACTTCGCAAAGGTGAAGAGGATAGGGTGTTTTCATGTTCACGTAAAAGGCATGCCGTAGTCGTTAGACCCTTCTATTGACTTCGCATCCCTGCAATGCCGGGAGGCAGCGACAACGTATGCTGGAGTTTTCGCCTGCCCAGGCTACTGTCATGTATGTTGCACAAGGGTGGCCTACAAGCTCGCGATTATCCTTGCGGTTTTTGCTGTGCCAAACCAGATATGTCATGGGTTGGTCGGTGTCAGTTTCACGGGGGGGGGGG